ACTTACTTAATCAAAATTCAAAACTAATATCATTGAGGGAAGCCAAAACTGTTAGTACATGCAGTATGTGTTGGTCTCTTGGCTAGTATTGAACCAAGTTTTGACACAACATTCATACAATTGTCTGAACTTTGAGCCATTCTCATGTTGGTTATAGTACAATCGCTAGATGTGGTTGCTGTCATGAATTTGGTTGAGTCCAAATTTTAAAGATGTGTGTATAGTATCAGTTTTAACACTGCTGAAAAGTAAAAAGGTGGCTTATAATAACTTTGTCATGCAATTATAATTTACATTTTGAATGTTTTCAAGCTAGGCAAACTGTTGGTGTGTCATCTAGAAGTGGCATTCTCTTGTAACAGGATTAGTTCAACGTAAGGATATCAGTTATTATCACACCGATAGCTGTTAAAAACCTGCTGTTAGAGATCTCTCTCATCTTTGCTCTAAAATTCTACTCAGGTGTTGTGTTTTAGTTTTACGGCCAGGCTTCAATCGACTGAAGGAGCTTTCATAACCTCAAGTTAACATGGAAGTTTGCTTCCACGATGAAGCTTCTAGTTAGATTTTTTTTCCCTCCTTAACAATTGCATTGGTTAGAATTAAGGATGTGCAGCATATCAGCAGCAAAATATAGGTATCGGCCGATGTTAGTAATGTTTTAGCACATCGGTATCGGCCCTATAAGTAAAACTGGACCGATATTAAAAACCCATTTTTCCCTCTTATTTCCGTTTATATATCTATAACAGGTGGTGAGGGAGTGATGATGAGTACTTGTTTGGTGATGTGACAGTTCTGTAATCATCTCAGAAGTGTAAATGTGTGTGTGTGTTGTGTGTGTATAGTAACAAAAACACATACACACAAATGTAACAACTAACACAAATGTGTAGCCTGATATGGGTAAAAGTTGTAGCCTTTGATTAAATGTCAATTTTCCATGGTGGCCATAATGAATCAAGTTGACTTGAAAAGTCTGTAGATCTTTATATATATATATATATATATATATATATATATATATATATATATATATATATATATACACAAAGATAGATAGATAGATAGATAGATAGACATAGCTATAGATAAAGATACATAGATATACAGATTGAAAATCATGCAAGCTAAACTTTTTAATGTCTTGCTTTATTTCTTCAAAGTGCAAACTAGATTATGTACACAGTGTGCGTGCGTGTGTGTGTGTGCGCGCGCACGCATGTGTGTCTAGTTTCTAGTGCAGATTTTATTTACGTAATCTGGTTTCCTGTTATCGGTTGCTGACGGAGGTTAACAGCTGATGGAGAGAGAGATTTTCAGAGCATCAGTGCAAAAAGCATGAAATCACCAACATATCTGATTTCATCTTCCATACAGAGATTTGCAGAACATGTTTCATGTCAGCATAAAATAATACAAAATTATCTCTAAGGATCTTCTGTGTATATATAAATCAGGCACAGAATACGAATATGTGGCTGTAGCAAAAAGAAGGAAAGTGGAATGGCTCGTCGGTTACATAACATCTGGTTTAACGCCAGAATAAAAACTACAATGTGACCTCCGTGAGCTCTTCTAGGTTTACTGGTTCTTCTGGGAGTGAAGACGGGAAGTGAGAGTGTGCTGATCTGCTGCAAGTCCAGTTATTTCTGAGTGTTTGAATGTGCTCACCTGGAGAGACGCCTGTCGCCCGAAGCATCGGGGATCTGCAGCTTCTGATGCTTTGACAGCACATTGTGTCCACGCGGGTTAAAGGGCAGCACTGCCGAGGATTAAAGTTCTGCACAGTTTCCATCACTTTGACACAGTTTTCAACCGCACGCTGAGCAGAACCAGATATTTTTAAATCCCTGTTTTGCAGCAAAACCAACCCACCAACCTGAAGCAGCTGAATAACTCAAACTATTATTGAGAGGTGATGATAATCCCTCAGCTGTTTAAAATAGAGGAGCCCAGAGAGCTAATCTGATGGTTCTGCTGGTTCTGAGCCTTGACAGCGCCCAGTTGCCATGGTGATGAAGTATCTGCCCACCCAGTGATGTTGCTCTTTATCAGCCTGGGCTGGTCCCATCTGTGTGTGTGTGTCTTTGAAACGTTTGACCGTGCATTGTGTGCTTTTGAATTAGGACACTTTACTTGGCAGCCCTCTTTGTCTTTGTATAGTGTGGGTTTCTGTGAGTGTGTGAGTGTGTGGCAGTGTGGTGTTGAGCTTTCCAGCAGTGCTACAGGGAGGCTAATTGTATTTTAATTACAAAACCAAATGCACAAGTCAAACAGTTGCCTTCCACCCACAGAAAACACACAGCTAAACACAGGTAGGTGTGTGTTCGACCCTGAATGCTTCCTTTCATGAAACACACACCTGAGACATTTTTAACTCAGTTTACATGAAATGATATTCACAGCGCACCATTTTATTTCTTGTGTGTGATTTCCTGATGAGTGTTGGGAGGCAGATGGAAGGAATAGTGTATCAGATGACCGGGGACTCTGTAGCTGGGGCTTCAAACCCACCCGGGGGGCCACTTGTTTGAAATATCTGATGTTTGTGATTTTATTCTGCAGTCTTGCACGCAGATATCTTATTCTCTTTTGCTCATATGCAGCTCTTTATTACGCAGAACGTCACGCTTCATCACCCTTTTATGCTGCAACACATTTGAAGTTTTGAGGTTTTGTCTTGCTTTGTATTCTGCTCTTTAAGAAGCTTCATCCGTGCTTTATTTTCCCGGGATTTGATGCTTGCTGTTGGAGTGCCATCCAACTTCTTGAAGCTGGTATCTCACTAGAATGTTGATTTGGTTGAGGCACAAAACTGAATGAAAACATGCAAATATTCAGCTGCAATCACAACCATTAGGCACTTTTGAAAGAGGTTTTAGATGTGGCTGGGTTGCAAGGGGTGCATTGTGCAATTCTAAATAAATGTGGTTAGAAATCTTTTTAGATAGGTTTTTTTTTCCCATTCTCATTTTGAACCCATTTTACTCTCACGTTTTCACAATTTAGTGCCAGTCAGGGGCGGATTTATGACTGAAGAAGATCTGGGGCTTAACACACACACACGTGCACACATGCATGCGCGCGCACACACACGTGACACGCACTAGTCAACATCATATATATTTGTCTTGCACCACATAATTTTTAATCTGAAGCTACATATTAAGCATTTTCAGGGCAGAGTATTGTTCCTGTTAGTGTTTAGTGTGAGATGATATTCCCTTTCTTTCTCCAGCAACTTTACCTGATAGTAAACTAACTTTAGGCAAACCAGCAGCACAACAAATATTTTCAAATAAGACTCACAAACCTGAGTCAACACCAGTATCATCAAAGCTGGGGTTCTGTCGTTGTACTTTTGGTCTAAAAAACGTCCTTATGTCCATCTTCACTCAGGCAGAGAGTGTAGAAGAAGCCGACTACTGAAGGGCTTCTTCTTCAGTGGTGGAGGCTCAGGCAGGCTGTATACAAACTACTGCCAGCTGCTCCCTCTCTGTTGGACTTTGGTACTGCATGTTACTTCCGCGATTTAGATCCGGGGGGCTTTTCATTAAACATTTGGGGCTTGAGCCCAAGTAGCCGGGCCTAACGCCGCCCCTGGTGCCAGTCCCTTTCTCATGATTCGCACTTTGACTCAAGGAGGATTGTGTTGTGATTCAGGTCTTTCAACCTAAAATCCCAACTTAGAAGTTCAGCTATTCAACAAGCCTCATGTGGAAAATAACATTTTGACATCTGGTCTTCACATCACTGGGTCCACTTGACTTGAAAAATACATTTCATTTACAGTCATTCATTACATTTCCCCCATTTGTTGTCTTTGCCCAAACTTTTCATGCTTTTTCTTGCTTCAAACAAACAAACAAACAAAAAAAAGTTGATCCTTCATAAATATTTTTCTGTTTTTTAAACATCTAAATTCTGTAAAGACATTCTAGACATCTGATACATTTTAAACGTCACATGTCTGGTGGGTACTGAATGAATGGGATCATATCTGAAAGTAAAGCCATATCCTAGTTTTATTGCTCATCATTTGTTATTTTAAAGTCATCAGTTTTACAGGCTGCTGAGCATCTGCTGTTGAGGTCAATGTGTTTAGCTGACTGGTTTGTAAATGAAAACACTGAGAAGAGATGAACTAATCAATCATCCGTCTATTAAATATTCCCACTTCATCTGCAGATGGATGTGCTGAAATGGAATCTGACTGAGGAATCAAACTGAAACTAATCAATCTTTTAGATAAAACATCACACAGTCATAAAAGTTTTAGTGTCTGACTTCTAAGGCCTAGTCCACACGTAGCCGGGTTTCTTTAAAAACGAATATCCGCCCCTCCAAAAACTTGCATCCACACCACCTCGTTTAAAAAAAAACTGTCCACACGTACCCGGATAAATACGTTGTTAAGGACATGCCAGACCTGTAGGCGGCAGTACTTCCCCCGTTCTTAACCTCGTCCTTCGTCTGTGGTCTTCCACAAGGAGCAGTAATTCCGCTTGCAAAAACAAACAAGCAGAAAGCGCTTGGACAATTGATAAAACGAGCGCAGCTCTGAGGGCATCCATGCTGTCGGCTAGTGTAAACACAGGTCGCACACGTGATGTCAGCATTTTTTTGTCGCGGAAAGTGACGCTGCGGACCTTAAAACTCCGGTTTTGTCTGTCCACACGCAGACACCCAAAACGGAGAAAACGCAGATCTTCACTTTGGCCGGAGTTTTTACAAAGATCCGTTTTCGTGTGAAAAAACTCCGTTTTCGTGTGGATGACAGGCCAAAACGTAGCAAAATATCTACGTTTTGGCAGATGCCCGGCTACGTGTGGACAGAGCCTGAGAGGAGTTTTTGTGAGTCTGGATCAGAATAAACATTATCTGAATTCTAATAAATGTTCTACATGTGAAAGTGTAAACTAGCTGTAAAACTTCTAGAAAACAACAACAACAACAAAACTAATCTCCCTCCTTTCTCTTCTGTCTTCTGTTTCCAGCTTCCCCACAGACGAGTGACCTTCTCCACTTCCAACCAGGCTCAAGATCTGCAGGATGCATCCCAGCACAGCTACTACGACAGCGGCCTGGAAGAGTCAGAGACCCCCAGCTCCAAGTCATCATCAGGGCCACGGATCGGACCACTGGCTCTGCCAGAGGACCACTACGAGAGAACCACACCCGATGGCAGCATTGGCGAGGTGGAACACCCGGAGAACGGTAAGACCAGGTGGAGTTTCCCCTCCCTGTTTTTCTCTTTTCATCCCTCCATCCATCCTTCAGCCCAGAGAGACACACCAATGGGCTCAATCAACACTTCCTGCTTTTATAACACACACACACACACACACACACACACACACACACACACACACACACACACACACACACACACACACACACACAACTTGTCAGCAGGAATTCTGATCATTTAATCAAATTCCCACAATTCCCTGCACAGTGCACACCTCCGTTAAAGAGGTGTGTGACCTCACAGCAGCACAGCACAATCAATATGCAACATAATCAAGTCCCACTGCTTCACAAATTAACATCCCAATTATGTAAATCATACCTGGTTTAGACCCCCATCAGCTACACAGGCAGGCTAACGGGGAACACGCTAACACTGTTAGCATCCTGTTAGCCTCCCATCATACTCTATACAGAAACAGTCAGGGCTGTCAACTTTTGAACATTTCAAAGAGTGAGATGGGGTCGTGGGGTTGGGAGCAGACAGTTTGCCGACCATTTGGGCGGCGGGGGGGGGGGGGGGGGGGGGTATTAATGAGACTTTTTTTTTTTTGTTCTTCGTTTTATTTATTTCTACTCTGTATGGAAGAGGATTAGAGCCACTGACAAGAAAAAAAAAGAAAAGAACAAATTCTTACCTTTACTCAGAATTCTGACAGGGAATTCTGGGATAAAAGTCAGAACAATTTTTCTTTTCTGTTTTATTCTTTTTCTTTTCAGTGGCTCTAGTCCGTTTCCATACCTCTGACTTTACAGAGGGAACTGACCTTTGTTTAGTACAAATTTTCTTTTCGTGAGGAAAATTTAACATCCAACTCTCCTGAACTTCTTCATTCTATCTATCTATCTATCTATCTATCTGCAGTAAAGGGTTAAAGGAACTTTTGATTATAATTGATGTAAATGATTTAAATTCCATCTAGGGGTGGGCAATATCATGTCATTCATAATTATCAGTTATTATTTCCTGGCAAGAAAAACTATCACGTTAAGCTAACTTCATGATGTAACTGCATCCACTAAACAGGATCTCACAGTTCTGGGAGAACCGGTGTCGGTACAGGATCTGCTCGGGTGCAGGATCGACTCGGGGTCCTTCGACTGCCGATGACATCAAAGTAGTTGATTGGCTGAACTTGAAGCCTACGGAAGTTACGTTATCATGTTATTATTTTGATTGGTCAGAACAACTTTGCGGTCGTAGTCTTCGTGGTTTTAGTCCTGTAGTCCAAAAATCAACACTTTTTGGAGAATATATGTTTGAATTTCTAAAAGAAATGTAAAATATAAGCAAATGATAAACAGTGACCATCAAGCTCTTGATGTTGATAAAATGGGGCAAAATAAAATATAAGAACTTTATTGAAAGACACCAAGCAATATTTTGAGTCAAAGAATGTATTTAGATAACAACTAAGGAAACATACAGACGAACTCCACATTAATACAAACAGATATGGCTTCACATATAAGAACTGTTCCATATTTTGTCAGTCCGATGTTGGTTTTATGCAGTTTCACATTCTTTACAAAACAACGATAATTATGGTGTCTTATTAACAAATTAAATTATAAAGAAAACATTTTTGTTAACAAACAAGAATTTAACAAAACTGCTGATGTCTTTCCAAAACGTATGTGTGAAAGCCGAGTAGATTTGCAGTAATGCGACGTGATTGGCAGTCGAAGGACCCCGAGCCGATCCTGTACCGACACCGGGCATGCCCATCCCATCATCAACAGCAGGTGGAGCTCACCGCTCCGCCCATCCCACAACCAGAGCGGTAAAAAGCACACCGGCTTGGATTATACAGATGGAATTCTGGGTGTGAAAAAAACGCCAGTTAAATTATTACTGAAGTGTTGTTTGTGTGCATGTTGTTAAGTAGATAATGCTATAATTAATGTAATTGAGTTTTTGAAATAAACCCTGCACACTGTGCGTGATGCGTGTTTGGGGAGCGCAGGCACTGGTTTAGGGTGAGAGATTGGAGGTGTGGCGTGGGAGCGTGTGAAGAGGGTCGAATGCGAGTGTCTCACGCTCAGTGCATGAGAGTTGGCAGAGTCAGGTAAAGGTTGATGATGCTAACAGATGGTTCAGCTTCAGGCTGTGTAGATGGTTTTAGCTAATGCTAACAGGTACGCAACACAGACAGGTGTTATGTTTAGTTTTTAAATGGGTCTCACAGAAAAGGTTGACGGGAATGCTGATAAGCGGATTTAATGTTTTCAGTTTTTGTTTGGTTTATTGCAATTGAGATGATAATGATTTTATGATGTTTGGCTAGCGTGTTGCTAGCAAACTTTTACATTTCCTTTAGTGTTGTAACAAAAACGAAACCCATAACCCCAACTAAAACAAAGCTGTAGAGCCACTATTATGCTACAGTCAACCAAAGCAGCAACTTTGGCTTTGTGACAAGGAGAAAGATATTGGGCATTGCATTATGCTGAATGGTAATATACAAACTTATAAAATAACACAAGTTAACCAGGTCATGTTTGTAAATGAGAACATGTTCTCAAACATTTTAACTGGTAAAATAAAGGTTGAAAAAATTATTTGAAGATGATTCTGTTTAATAAATGTTCAACAAATGCATATTTTTAGATTTGATTCAGGTGATATTAGTCAAATTATTCTTGTCATGAACAGAACTCAGAAGACCCGTGAAGACGCCAAACACAATGAAAGTATATAAAAATAGAAAACCTTTATTTTTGGTGGAGTTACCAGATGGGCGAGGCTGGAGACAGAGTCAGAGACAGGCGAAGGTCAAAATGGCAGGCAGAGTACAAGGCAGGGGTCAGAAGAAAAACGAGGTCCGGAGGCAGAGATCAGGCAGGGTGGATGGCTGGAGAATTCACTGGCACGAAGTTTTCAATAATCTGGCAGTGAATGACTGGATGGCTGGTTCTTTTGTAGCAGGGTAAACAGGTGTGAGTAATGAGCTGAGGAGTCAGGAGCAGGTGAAGTGGATGAAGGCTGATTACAGGAACAGGTGAGATGAATGAAGTTGATTGTGATGCTGACAGAGGTTGCTAGGGAAAACAGGGCTTGGCTGGAGCTGGGTGAGGGGACCAGGTGAGCTGAATGAAGAGTAAATGAGGAGGGTGAAGGATGGAAGTCATGACAATTCTTTAATCTTTTTTTTCTGCAAATGAACTCTTCATTTATTTATCAAATGAAACCTGCACAAAGAGGATCTTCACTTCTAAAGTTTGCTGCAAAATACATGTCCTACATCCATTTCAGTAGCTGGGCTCACATCATGTGCTGCACTGGGGATTTCGTAAACTTAGAATCACCACACATTCACAAGAAAAAAGAAAAACAAACCATTTCAATGAGCTCGTTGTAATTATGCCCACTACCCGGGTGTCCGGACTTTTAAATGCCTTCAGGCTTTGCTTTATTCATACCTCGCTCAGAAATGGATCCACACAGGTATCAGGAAAACTAAATTCTGGTAATTTTTTATCACGTGTAGTCTACATATAACACTTTTCTTGAAAGGCAGCGAGTAACCTCATCAGGACTAAGAGTTTGTAAGGACCTAATAGCATTCTGTTGGGCTTTCAGTTGGGTTGTTGTTGAATTTATTCCCATTTTGGGATTCAGGGGGTAAAGGCGGGGTGTAGGACTTTATTTCCCAGTGAAGATACAAGCAGACAGATCGAGGCTAGGTTTCCATGACCTGTGACCTTAGACCCACCACCCCCACCCCACAACAAGAGCAGGAGGGCTGTTTGGTTTTTGCATTTGGCTTTATTATTTGTACAGGCCATGTCTTAAATGAGAGGGAATTGTTAATATTCTGTTTGCATCACTAACTGCAGCAGTAGGTAATCTTTCATGTTTTCATTTATAAGTTCAGTTTCCTTTGCAGATTGTCCTCTTTAATAACCACTTACTTTGGTTTAGACTTTTGTCCAATACCTTCCTTGGTTTATTGGAGCCTCCATGTTACCAACATCAACATGAGTTAATAGCCAACTTTAAAATTGCCATATAGAACATGACAGTGCTTGCAAATTTCTAAAATATCAGTTTAAATCCCAATAATTACTGCAAAAAGAAGAAACACGTGTGTTTGAATCAGGTCCGAAGTCTCAGTTTAATGAAATATCTGCTCCACTCTCTTTGTTTACAGTGAAGTTAATATTTTAACCCATCAAAAGGTGAGGAGTTATTGTTATGATTTATTTAGACCAGATTTGGCCTTGAACACAGAACCAGTCAGTTGCACTTATACAGATTCATGCATTTAACGTTCACAGCCCTGCTGCATATTTGATAGGCCTCGTTTAAATCTTTAAAGCACAAAAGCATAAAACATCTCATGCATAAAAAGCTTAATTTACCCAGATTAGGAACAACAAGGCATTATTACATCAGCACAAAGAAGAAGGAAACAGCCAATAAATAAAAGTAAAAGCTGTGCCTCATAAGAAGGACTTTATGTTTAGATAACGACGCTGAGAAACAGGTGGTTTTTAGGGTTTCAGCAGAGATTCCATCCATCCATCCATCGTCTGAACCCGCTTGTCCACGTAGGGTCGCGGGGGGGGGCTGGTGTCTATCTCCAGCGGTCAATGGGCAATCAGGCGGGGTACACCCTGGACAGAGAGCCAGTCCATCACAGGGCGACACAGAGACACACAATCGCGCGCACACACAAACACACACACACACACACACACACACACACACACACACCTAAGAACAATTTAGACCGACCGATCAACCTAACAGTCATGTTTTTGGACTATGGGAGGATGCCGGAGTACCCGGAGAGAACCCACGCATGCACTGGGAGAACATGCTAACTCCATGCAGAAAGATCCCAAGCAGGGAAGCGAACCGAGGACCTTCTCACTGCAAGGCAACAGCTCTAACCACTGCGCCACATCGCAGCCCAGCTGAGATTCCCTGAAGAATAAACAAACTGTCTCATTTACCAGCA